CGTTATTATTTCAATAAGGTTTCGATTTTTTTGATTTCGATTTCGATAACAAATAATCGATTCGATTTATCGATAAACCGATTCGAATGCACACCCCTAGGGATCGCGGGCGGGTTTAGTTTAATGGGTCAGGGGTTGGGTTAAATTGGAATTGGGCTGGCCCAATTGGGCATTAGGATTGGGGCTAGTTGGGTTTAAGATTAAAATGAAATTGAAGCTATAATTGAAATGAAATGTGGCCAAAATTGAAATAGCCAGTTTTCCCCTGTTATTTATAAAAATAGTGAGAATGATTTTAAAAGAAAATTGAAGATGCTGAACCAATTAATAATACATATGTATTAATTTAAAAATATTAGAACTAATTTTACTATTATAAAACACTATTAATCGTAAAATAGGCTATAATTGCCTTTATATGCAATTAGCTTTAAAAATACCAAACAAATTTGTAAAAATATACAAAAAATTACCTTAATTATATTTGGTGTAAATATGAGAATAAAATAAGTTATTCACAAAAAATGATAATTTGGGGAATAATTATTGAATTTTGTACTGTTAAAATAGACAATAAAATTGATTTAAAATAAGGAAAAATACCAAAACTCTTGGGAATGCTTATATATGCATGTATATGCTATTTTGAGGATATTTTGAGTACATAAAAATACTTAGGGAAAAATTGGGTATCAACAAGAAGAAGAAGCAATGATGGCCTCCAGTTTGAGAAACCCCCGTCAACCCCAAGGTTACTTCGGTTCCTCTTCCAACACCCCACAACATTACTACCCTCACCAAGATGCGGCATATGCCATGACTCCTCCGCCTTATGTAGTGATTAATGCCCAGCCATACGTTCGGCCGCAACAACACTATAACCAGAATCGAGCTCCACCTCCCAGAAATAACCCTCCTCACCAAGCTCCATATAATCCCCGTCCACCACAGAACAATTTTCCATATAACGCTCGTGCCCATGAACCACCCAGAAAAACCAATTTCACACACATCGGTGAATCATATTCCAGCCTTTTCCCAAAGTTGGTCCAAATGGGTTTGCTGCAGCCCGGCCTCCAAACAGACAAAACCTAGAGTCACCCTCCTACCGACCCAGTACCTGATGTGCTTATCATTCAGGGGCAGAAGGGCACGACACTGAGGATTGCTGGACCCTTAAAAGGGCGATCGAAAATCTAGTAGAGCAAAAGCGGGTAGTGTTGAGGGATGAGGAGGTTCCCAATGTAGCCAATAACCCATTGCCAACCCACAACAATGGGCCAGTTATTGGAATGATTTGTGAGGATAGCGAGTTCGACCCAATGCTGATATTGAAAAGAAGCCCAAAGCGGCAACAAAGCAAGCTAAGGATGAGAAGAAGAACAACTCCACCTCCTCAAAGCATAGAAAAGGCTGTGGAAGACAAGACAGGGGCAGTACCTCCTAAAGATGTTGTTCTTTATGTTCCCAGGGCCCCCCAGGAAAGAACAGTTTGTGTTGAGTCCTCCCAAAAGGTTCGAGCAAAACAAGGCTACACTAAAGGTACCAAAGATGTACGTACCGAAAGGGATATGTGGAGCGGGGAATGATAATTTCACCTAGGTTGACTGGGCCCCTGGTTATCAGCCGCGAACCACAGAAGCCCATGAAAGACCCCACTACCATGCCCTGGAACTACAACAAAGCGGTAATGACGTACAAGGTAAAAGAAATCATGGGGGAAGTGAATAAAACAAACCTGTCTAGGAAGTACCTCAATTTGGAATAATTGAACAAGACCAAACAAAAGCATTTTCTGTTTAAGAAGCCAGTCAGTGCTGAAGAGGCAGACGAATTCTTTCGAAAGATGAAAACAGCGGACTGCACTGTGATCGATCAACTCAGTAAGTCCCCCTCTCAGGTATAATTTTTGGCCCTGCTGATAAGCTCGAATGAGCATCAGGAAGTACTGACAAAGACACTAAATGAAGCATATGTTCCGGCCGAGACCACGGTTGAGCAATTGGAAAGAATGGCAGAACGATTTTTTGAAGTCAACCGGATCTCCTTCAGTTGAAATGACTTGCCACCAGAAGGGGCTTCCCACAACAAAACTCAAACTCTTATTTTTCAAAAACATGACATAGTTTACCAAGTTTTCACTTTGATTCACATGATTTTCATGTTACATTCTAAGATATATTGATGGAATAAATCATGAACATGAACATAATTTTCACTTTGATTCACTTCGATTCACATGATTTAGATTTTCACTTTAAATTGCCAACTTTCAACAAAACAACACAAATCAACCTATGAACCTCCGAAATTGATTCCGGAAATACAGCCAAGTCAAAAATCACGATGCAAACCTATCAGAGCCATCTAAATACCACTACGAGATTTTTTTTCACAAAAGCCAAACCTCGGTCAACATTTTCAACTTAAGCTTCCAAAGTGAGAATCACTCATCCCAATTCCTTTCGAATCTTCCGTAAATCAAATTTGAGCAAGCACACTAGTCATAATACACAATAGGAAGCTACTCAAGATCTCGAACCACAGAACGCAACCTTAAAGCTCAAAACGACCGGGCGGGTCATTAAAATAGGTTGTGATGGCGCCTAAAGCTACTGTCAAGCAAGCCAATAATAAATTAATAAGATGATCGATAATTCATAGCACTTTTTGAAGTAAGTGGAGACATAAAGGAGTAAAATACTAACTTCTTCATCAAGATTCGCAAAATTATAAAAATATAAATTTAATATTATAACAGCGATACCACATGACAAATAATCTACAAAGCCGCAAAAACTGATATTATAAGTGTACGAGCATCTACTAGAATATACAATACTATTAGAAGAACTGTTTGGAATAGAATGTAGACAAAATACAATAAGAAAAGAGGAAGGAAACTCTGTGCGGTGTGGACTGATGTGCCATGGAATTTTGGACCAATTGGTACCAATAGCTTAAATTTTAACTTGTCTTTTAATGCATTTGTAGTTAATTCTGATCAAATTTGGTTGTTTTGTAGTGCACGAGCTTGAATACCCGAAAACATGGAAAAAAAGTCAAAAAGTCACAAAAAGACGAATATGCTACAAGTATGCGGTCGCATAACTCACATGCGGACCGCATAATCTACCTGCTGATTGCAAACAGAGACAGTCTATTGGGCCAACTGAAGAAGTAAATATTCGGTCCATTATGCGATCGCATAACACATATGCGAGCCGCATAGTGGTCGCATAACCACAATAGAAGGCAGCCCTCAGCATGATATGCGATGGTAGATGCGGTCGCATAACACATATGCGGACCGCATAACCATTATGCGACTGAAGCCAGATCTGGGATTCAGCAAGTCTGCAACGGAGTGCTCAATATGCGGTCTGCATAACTGGTATGCGAAAAGTATGCGATCGCATAAGCTATCTGAAAGGATATTTTTGTTCGATTTTGACTACGACTTTTGGTCCACTATAAAGAGAATAACTAGGGTTTTTGTGGGGTATTCAAGTCTTAAACAAGGTCCTACTTAGAGAGCAATTAATACTTCATTTATTTTGAGATTTGTGAAGAAGGAATCTTGAAATTTTGTAAGCTTTATGGCTTTATTAAATGCTTTGTTCTTGTATTACAGTATGAGTAGCTAGTTTTAAATACTAAGGTTGTGGACCCTAGATGGGTGTAATGTTAATGGGTGTTTAATATCGAATATATATATATATATATATATATATATATATATATTTATTTATTCAATTCTTGTTCTTTATTTATGGTTGGTGGTTGCAAACATTAATCTATTTCATTTTACTCTTTCTTTACTTGAAAAAGTGTGTTAGGGTTTGGTAGAATTGAATATCAAGAACTCAAGACGTTAACTCTTGTCTAATAGAATCGCTTAGGAATAAGTGGGTTCTACTTGGCATAAGTTGGTTGTTCTTAATTTGCGACTCTTTTATATTTGGAAAAATCATAAAAGGAAAATACTACCCAACTATTGGAAAGTATTGGTAGTCATTTAGAAATCATTTGCATATCAAAGGACCTTCCATTAGAAATATATCATATTAACACCGATAGCATTACATTCCATTTACGGGGACACAACCTTGGTTTCCTTAATCAAATCATTTACATTCTCAAAGTTACAATTAGTTATCTCTTCAATTCACAATTATATCATTCTCTTGTTACGTTAACGGAATAGAATTACGACCTAAGTCAAGTAGCACACTACTCGAGTAACCTTTTCACGCCTATTCCCTGTGGGATTCGACCCCAACCTTTTTGGGTTAATATATTTGACATTGACCGCCTTACACTGTTTAATTAAAGTGTAATTTGAGCGTATCAAATTTTGGCACCGTTGCCGGGGAATACGGTTTTGAAATTACTAATTAGTGTGTGCTTAAATTTACGTCTTATTCTATTCCATCACACTTGCTTGTTTTGCTTGGTGTTGATAGGAAGACATGGCCGAATATGAGGAATAAATGGAAGAAAATCCTTTTGCGGACATAGATGAGTACATTGAGGATACAAATGCTATTGTACCTCCGGTTGTTGGTGCTGCAACTTTCAAGGTGGAACGTGGTTTAATCCTAATGCTCAAAGCGGAAGGGTTTTTCAGGAATTCCACCGACGATGATCCGACACCACATCTTAGAAACTTCTTGGGTGTGTGTGCGATGCATAAGCAGAACAACGTCTCAGATGATGCCCTAAGGTTGAGGGTGTTCAAGTACTCACTAGCTAGGGACGCAAGGAAATGGCTTCAAAATATGCCACCAAATTCCATTCAGTTTTGGCCTGAACTTGTCTGAGCATTCTTAGCTAAATGGTTCTCGTAAAGTAAGAAAAATAAGCTCCGGGATAAAATTTTCTTTTTCAAGCAAGTACCGGGAGAACATTTACATGAGGCATGGGATCGATTCAAGTTATATTTGGTGAGGTCTCCCAATCATGGTTTTTCGGATTTTATCTTGTTGGAGAAATTCTATATGGGTTTAGATGCTATGAACCAATCTATAGCCAAGAATGCAGCTGATGGATCTTTTATGGATAAGACATTCGCATGGATCACACAAATACTTGAAAAAATGGCAAAACATAATCAAGCTTGGCACTCAGAGGACACCACAGGTGGAATTGCATATGGTTCTCCCTCCTTGACCACCATGATTAAGGAGAATCAAGAAAGAGATCAAGTAATTGCAGGGTTTGCCACCAATGTCAATGTGTTGACAAAAATGTTCACTGAAAGCCAAACGAAGAAGGTAAATGTGGTGGAAGATGTGCAACCATCATCAAGTGAAGATTATGAGGAAGCCAACTATGTCAACAACTCTCAAGGAGGCTATCAAAGGCAACAATACCAAGGTCAAGGACAACAAAATCAATGGAGGCCTAACCCGCAAGGGCAAGGCAACCAACGGTGGCAAAATGGCCAAGGTGGCTCAAAGCAAGGAAATTGGAATAATAAGAACAACAACTTCTCAAATCGGAGTTCAAACCCTTATGTTCCACCAAAAGGTCAATATTCAAATCAAGTTTCTTCAAGTGATTCCAAGTTGGAAAGAATGCTTGAACGGGTATTGCAAAATCAAGAGAGGTCTGACACTTCTATGAGGAATATGACCGAGCTTGTTGGTTCTCATACCGCATCCATTCAAAAATTGGAGATGCAAATGAGAGATCTTTCTAGGGAACAACATCCGAAGCAAAAAGGGACACTTCCAAGTGACACAATTGCGAACCCAAAGGGTAGTGGGAGTGGTCCAACTTCTCATATCATTGCAATTACTACTCGGAGTGGGAAGGTACTTCAAGGAGATACCGAGCAAGTGGTTGAAGTGGAAGAGTCCGAAAAAGAGGTTGAGGCACAAGTTGAAGAGCCAATTGTTGTTGAAGCTAGAAGAGTTCCGGAAGAGTTGAAAGTGCAAGAAGCAAACCGGGAAGAGGTAAAGGAAAAGGTAAAAGAGACACCAAAAGCTCTACCACCTATTCCTAGATCTCCACCTCCTTTTCCTCAAATACTTTCTAGGAAGGTTGATGATAGCAAACTCGAAAAGTTCTATGACATTCTCAAGCACTTATCGGTAAACATTCCATTCGTGGAAGCATTTCAAGAGATGCCGGGTTTTGCTAAATATTTGAAAGACTTGATCACCAAGAAGAGAACCACCAAAAATGAAGTGGTGAATATGACTCACCAGGTTAGTTCCATCATTGCAACAACCACCGTTTAAAAGAAAGAATACCTGAGAGCTTTCACTATTCTATGCACTATTGGGGCGCATGATTTTGCAAGAGCCCTTTGTGATAATGGGGCTAGCACCAACCTAATGCCTCTTGCCATTTACAAGCAAGAAGGGTTAGGTATGCCAAGGCCCACAAGTATGAGATTGCAAATGGCCGATCGTTCCATAAAGAGACCGGTGGGAATTGTCGATGATGTGCTTGTAAAAGTGGGAAAGTTTCATTTACCTGCCGATTTCATAATCCTTGATTGTACAGTTGACAAAGAGATCTCTATCATCTTGGGGAGACCATTCCTTGCTACAGGAAGAGCACTAAAGGATTCGGATTGGAATGAGATCAAATTTCGTGTGAATGATGAAGAGGTTACATTCCAAGCAAACAAGGGTATGAAACTACCACATGAATATGAAAGCATCTCGGTGATCGATGTTGTTGATGAAGTGGAAGATACGGTTCAAATGAAGATGGAAGAACAATGCCTCGGTGAGGTGTTGGCGGCTATTTTGGTAAACTTCGACGGTGAAGATATGAAGGGGTATATGGAATCAGTCAATGCATTGGAAGAGCTTGGGTCCTACACTTATGCTCCGAAGAAGCTCTCTCTCGACTTGGAAAATAGAGTCATTCCTCCTGCAAAGCCTTCAATTATTGAGCCATCGCAACTAGAGCTCAAACCACTTCCACCACACTTGAGGTATAAATTTCTTGGCTCAAATGATACTTTATCGGTAATCGTGTCTTCTTTGATGAATGATGTGCAGGTAGAACAATTGTTGAATGTCTTGAAGGAGCATAGGCAAGCTATTGGGTGGACAATTGCGGATATCTAAGGGATTCCCCCTGGAATTTGCGAACATAAGATCCAATTGGAGAATGAGAGTAAACGAAGTGTAGAGCATCAACGAAGGTTGAACCCTTCCATGCAGGAGGTGGTAATGAAAGAAATCATCAAGTGATTGGATACCGGGGTAGTCTACCCCATTGCCGATAGTTCTTGGGTAAGTCCGGTACAATGTGTGCCAAAAAAGGGAGGCATGATTGTGATTGAAAATGATAAAAATGAACTCATCCCAATGAGAACGGTGATTGGATGGAGAGTGTGTATGGATTACTACAAGCTAAACAGTGTTACGTGCAAGGACCATTTCCATATGCCTTTTATTGATCAAATGCTTGATCGGCCAGCGGGAAGGTCATTCTACTGCTTCTTGGATGGATACTCCGGCTACAACCAAATCAATATTGCATTGGAAGATCAGGAAAAGACAACATTCACTTGTCCATATGGGACGTTTGCATTTAGCCGCATGCCATTTGGGCTATGCAACGCTCCGTCTACTTTCCAAAGGTGTATGATGTCAATATTCTCCGATATGGTGGAGGATTTCTTAGAGGTATTCATGGACAATTTCTCGGTCGTAGGTGATTCTTTTGAGCATTGTCTAGACAACCTTAGACAAGTGCTTAAGAGATGTGAAGAAACGAAACTTGTGCTAAATTGGAAGAAATGCCACTTCATGGTAGACGAGGGCATTGTTTTGGGCCACAAAATTTCCAAACAAGGCATAGAGGTTGACCGGGCAAAGATCGAGATCATTTCCAAGCTTCCTCCACCTACATCAGTTAAAGGTGTCTGAAGTTTTTTGCGGCATGCCGACTTCTATAGGCGTTTCATCAAGGACTTTTCTAAAATTGCAAATCCCATGTGCAAAATCCTTGAGAAAGATGCAAAATTTGTGTTTGACGGCACCTATTATTGTCACACCCGATTGGTCTCTTCCATTTGAACTCATGTGTGATGCCAGTGGTGTAGCTATTGGGGCAGTGCTTGGCCAACATCACAACAAGGTTCTTCCCCCGGTCTATTATGCAAGTAAGACACTCAATGGTGCGCAAATGAATTATACGGTGACTGAGCAAGAACTTCTTGCCATTGTCTATGCCTTTGAGAAATTCCAGGCTTATTTGTTGGGATCCAAGGTGATAATTACACAGACCATGCTGCTCGTCGCTATCTTATGGCAAAGAAGGATGCAAAACCTAGGTTGATTCAGTGGGTCCTGTTGTTGCAAGAGTTTGACTTCGACGTCAAAGATCGAAAAGGGACGGAAAATCAAGTGGCAGATCACCTATCAAGGCTTGAAGAGGCAGGGAGACCAAAGGAAGATATTGAAATTAACGATGCTTTCCCTGATGAACACATATTGGCATTATCTAATACTTTTGCTCCTTGGTATGCCGACATTGCTAACTTCTTGGTTAGTGGTCTTGTTCCCGAAGGTTTGGACGCTTACCAAAAGAAAAAGTTTTTGCGGGAGTGTAGGCATTACTATTGGGAAGAACCCTTCTTGTTCCGTAATTGTGCCGACAACATCATCCGTCGATGTGTTCCAGAGGATAAGGTGATGCCAATTCTCAAGGCATGCCATGATTCGCCGGTTGGGGGTCATCATGGAGGAAATCGAACTGCGAAAAAAGTGCTTGAATGTGGCTATTATTGGCCAACAATCTACCAAGATGCAAACAAAATGGTCGAGGCATATGACCAATGTCAAACACAAGGGTCAATATCTAAGAGACATGAGATGTCAATGAACTTTGTACTCGAGGTTGAGATCTTTGATGTGTGGGGAATAGACTTTATGGGCCCCTTAGTGAGCTCGTATGGCATGACCTACATTTTGGTGGCTGTGGACTATGTCTCTAAATGGGTTGAAGCAATTGCCTTACCAAACAATGAAGCAAGCAGTGTGACCGCATTTTTGAAGAAAAACATATTCACACGGTTTGGCACTCCAAGGGCCATCCTGAGTGATGGTGGGTCTCATTTCTGTAACAAGGCTTTCACTGGGCTGAAAAATATTGTGTAAAGAACAAGGTGGCCACACCTTATCATCCTCAGTCGAGTAGTCAAGTTGAAGTTTCAAACAGAGAAATCAAGAATATTCTAGTGAAAACTGTTAATGCAAACAGGACCGACTGGTTAAAGAAGCTAGATGATGCATTGTGGGCCTATCGCACAGCATTCAAGACCCCTATTGGCACTTCACCATACAGGTTGGTTTTTGGCAAAGCTTGTTACTTGCCAGTAGAACTTGGGCACAAAGCTATGTGGGCTTTAAAGAAGCCAAATCTTGATTTGGGCTGAGGCTGCTAACCTAAGGATGACACAACTCAACGAGATGGAAGAATTCTGTTTTCATGCCTATGAGAGTGCAGCCATGTACAAAGAACGGATGAAGTTTCTCCACGACAAGAAGATCTTGAAAGGGGAGTTTAATTCGGGTGACTTAGTCTTACTTTTCAACTCAAGACTCAAGTTGTTTTCGGGAAAACTCAAGTCCAAATGGCCTGGACCATTCAAAGTTGTGCGTGTGTCTCCCTATGGCGCTATTGAACTTGAGTCATAAGATGGGACTCGGAATTTCAAGGTAAATGGACAACGGGTCAAACATTACCTCAGAACCGCCAGAGAAAGGCATGTGATAGAACAAATTGCTCGGCATGATAATCCAACAGCTACTTCCGCCAAAGATTAATCCAAAAGGGGTAAACTGTGTCGTGCCGCAACGTTAAATCAAGCGCTTCTTGGCCGGCAACCCATGTGTGGTAACACTCTTTTGTTGTTTTTTATTTATTTATTTATGTAGATTAGATTGAGCAAGTTGACGTGTGTGCTAGAGTGCAGGTAAAATTTCATGAACAGGGTCTTAGTGCTGAAGAAACTGAAGGAAAAAGAGGTCCAAATTAAGCAACAGCTATGCGGTCGCATAACGACTATGCGGACCGCATAGTCATCGCAGACCCAGGCAAATTTTTGGGCTAATTTCATTGTCGACTTTGTGGTCATTTCTCATTTATGCAGCCCGCATGTCAAGTATGCGATCGCATAGTGCATCGCATATCAGACCTACTCGACCCAGCCATCAGCCCACCGCATAACACCTACGCGATCGCATAGTATGTTATGCGATGGACTTTCACGCCGCATACTTACTAGGTATAAACGTGCTAAACTCTATGCACACACCCACATTTGAATGAAATACAAGCAAGCAAAACAAAAAGAAAAAAAAGAGACGAGAAGGAAACTGGGACGAACAACGAGGGCAAAAATCAATCACCATATTTTTTTCAGTTCCATCGTAGATTCCTCAGAATTCAGGTATATGTTCTGAATTCTCTCCTCTGTTCTTCACTCGTAATCTTCTATCTGAATTTTTTTTTCTTTCTTTCTCCCCTTGTGAATGCACCCAACCTCTAATGCCATTAATACCTGCAAAAGGGTGCCTGAAAAGAGGTCAAATTGATTTAAGATAGGGGATTACATGTTTCTGATTTTAGTTGGGGAGGATGAATTGAAGGAGTGATTGTGTGATTTTGGCCACGAATCCAAGAGGGGGAAGTCTGAGTACCTCTCTATATCTCTCTATCGGTTGAAATAAATCGTATATAGATTTTTGAATGAGTGGAAAAAGGAACCCACATGCTTTTGGGGAGGGCTAATTTTCATTGGGGACGATGAGTTTTGCAGGCCGTATAATTGCGGTCCGCATAACCATCACATTCTGCCCCTTTCCTTACCCTAGGTTTGACCGAGTTATGCGGTCTCCTTTGCGATCGCATACCTGATATGCGGACCGCATACCTGCGGCATACTGAGGCAGTCCGTCAGGTTAGTGTTCATTCTGCGGTCATTTTGCGATCGCATAACCACTTATGAGGTGGTTTTGTGATCGCATAACTATTAATACATTTTTTCTTCTTCACCTAAGCGATGGTTCTGCGGACCGCATACTTGATATGCGACCGCATAGCCCATCGCATAACATAAAGAAAATTATTATTAGTTTGTTTTGTTCTTTTTTTTATATGTGATAGCTCTTTCACTCACTCCTACAATGTTTCATCAACAGGCATGGCACCAAAAAGGTCTAATCCAATAAGAACACCGCCCTGTAGTCGACATAAAGGGGCTGCCAATCCT